TCTTGCTCAAGGGATGCATGCCTTTCTCACTCATATGCCCCAGACGCATATGCCATAATTGAGTGAGATTCGTATCAGACATCGATGAGGATACCGCTACTGAACCTGTCACAGTACTGCCATGCAAGACATACAAGCTTCCAGAACGAGAACATTTCATGAGAACAAGAGAGCCTTTTATAACCTTCAAAACTCCACCTTCAGCTATGTACTTGCACCCCAGAGATTCTAAGGTGCCCAAGGATATCAGATTGCGTTTCAAATCAGGAATATACCGAACATTGGTAAGAGTCCTGACAACATTATCATGAGTTTTAATCTGCACACTTCCAATTCCACTAACCTTGCATTGTGTATCATTACCCAGCAAGACAACTTCACCATCAACCGGTTCTAGAGAGACGAACCAGTCTTTGTGATGACACATGTGGAATGTACAACCAGAGTCCAGAATCCACTCGGTTTCGCTCCGTTTGCAACCGGAGCTAACAGATTACATAACATCGCCTTCTGAATCACTTTCAACAACACTAGCTTTAGCGGACTTCTTTTCTCTCTCTTGCTTGTGTTTCAACTTTATGCATTCAGTCACATCGTGACCTTGCTTCTTGCAGTACTTACAGGATTTGTTGGACTTATGTCCTTTGGACTTGGATCTAGATTTTTTTACTGCTAGTCTATGTTGAACGACCCCTTACAGTCAAGCCTTCACCTTTGTCCTCAGACTTAATTTCAAAGTCAAACTTTTCTTTGGACAACAGGTTTGACTTAACATTGTTAAAAGTAAGGGTATTACTACTATTACCATACAACATAATTTCTTTGAAATGCTTGTATGATTTAGGGAGAGAGACAAACAATAAAACAGCACGATCCTCATCGTCAATTACGACATCAATATTTTCCAAGTTCAATAAAATAGAATTGAATTTATCCAAGTGAGATTTAATAGAAGTACATTCTGTCATACGGATTGTGTACAGACGCTCCTTCAGGCGTAGCATGTTCGCCAGAGTTTTGGCCATGTAAAGCGTATCCAGCTTGGACCAAAAATTTGACGCAATCGTCTCACTTACTACCTCACGTAGAACCTCTTTAGACAAGCACAAAAGGATGGTTGAACGTGCATTGTCATCCAAATCTTCCCAATCTTCATTTGTCATTGTAGCCAGTTTCTTCTTCTTCCCAGCTAGTGCTTTTTTCAAATCGTTCTGGGTTAGAACGGCTTCCATCTGAATTTTCCAGATAGAAAAGCTAATTTTTCCGTCGAACTTCTCGATATCGAACTTGGTGACAGTCGACATCATAGAAAATAACTCTCAATTAAACCGCTCTAATACCACTTGCTAGGAATATAACAGAATAATGCGGAAGCGAAGAATAAAAAATTGAGAATTATAGAAGTTAAATACTAGGGAAAATATATAAATGACAAAATAAGGCAATTGCTAATTTTGGGAGATTATGTAATATATATATTAAACTCTAAAAGAGAATAGAAGGGAAAAATATATATGAATGTCTACGTGAAGAAGAAAACAAATTAGAGAAGGATGAATTGAAATTGATGCATTGATTACAAAGTAAACTAAGCTATTTATACAATGAAAACAAGAGAAAAACAAGGCAATTATGTGGAAGCCCATAGCGCTCGGCAAACATGCAAGAGAGACATGCATTGATCAATAGTTATGCTGTGCAACCGAATGCACCATGCGCATGGTGCATATGATGCAAAACGACGTCGTTTTGACTAAAAACGCGCGCCCCACTTAAAAAAAAAAATTCAGGTTCGACTCGGCAATAGCATTATTGTGGATATATAGTTATGAATTTCTGGATATATAGTTATGAATTTCTGGATATATAGTTATGAATTTATGGATATTTAGTTCATTCATTGTGGATATTTAGTTCATTCATTGTAGATATTTACTTCATTCATTCACTGTGGATATATAGTTATGAATTTATGGATATATAGTTATGAATTTCTGGATATATAGTTATGAATTTATGGATATTTAGTTCATTCATTGTGGATAGTTAGTTCAACCATTGTGGATATTTAGTTCGTTCATTGTGGATATTTAGTTCATCCATTGTGAATTTTTACTTCATTCATTCACTGTGGATATATAGTTATGGATTTGTGGATATATAGTTATGAATTTATGGATATATAGTTATGAATTTATGGATATATGAAAATGCTATTGCCGGGAATTGAACCTGATTTCTTTTTTAAGTGAGACGCGCGTTTTTTTTTAACCAAAACGACGTCGTTTTGCATCGTATGCACCATGCGCATGGTGTATTCGGTTGCACAACATAATTTGCGTGCATTGATCAGGCAACGTGGATGCTGGCATGTTGTCTTATAGGATTTGAGCCAAAAAAAAAAAAAAAAACTTACTTCTAACAACATTCAATTAGGGACAGGGGGAGTAGCTGTTAGTGATAACTATTACTATAGTTAATTGGGTTAGTGTGTTTGACTAATTGAAAACATTAGCTGATTGTATAAACTGTTTGGTAAATTAGTGGGTTTGACTAATTGATAACATTAGCTGATTGTAAAAAGTGTTTGGTAAATTAGCTGTTAGATGATAGTTGATTACATATAAAATAACTTTCTCAAAAAGTTGATCGAAAAAATCACATTGAACAGCTTTTTGAATTTTGGTGTTTTGGAGCAATAAGTTGTTACAAAAAATTAATTAATCAAGCACTCATATTGATTGTTTAACCAAGTCAAACATCTAATAATGGTCAAACAAGTAAAAAATGACTGGCATGCTAACTATTTTACCAAACAGGCCTTTATAAATTAAGTTATAAGTTCTGTTTGGTAAAATATGAAGAGCTTAAAATAATACGGAGTAATTTATTTTGAAATCTATTATGTTTATGTTTCAACATAAGTTATTAACTATTAGTTTTTTAGCTTTCTACTTTAAACTATCTTATAAGGTATGTATGCCAAACAAAGCAATTAGCTTACTTGTGTGTGTGTGTTATTTTTTATTTTTTCATGATTTCATCTTAAAACTAAGTTTGGTCGGTTATAATTTGTTGGAAATATTTCTAAATAAATTTTGTTATAAGTTTTGTGTGGTAAAATATGAAGAGTTTAAAATAATACGTACTAACTTAAATTAAGTTAGTAACTATCAGTTTTTTAAAATAATAATCAATAAACTTAGTTATGATTTCATCTTTAAACTAAGTTTGGTCGGTTATAATTTTTTGGAGCAATTTCTAAATAAATTTTGTTTTCTACTCTTTTCTTATTGCATGATTTATGAATATGAACGTGATGTAATGGGTTATAGATAGCTTTGGCCTTATTATATCTAATCAATCAATCAATGAATACATGTCAAAATATATAGTTAAAGTCACGACTTTTATTTCTTAAAGAAACACATTTGTTTACAAAAAAAAAAAAAAAGAAAAAGAAATTAAATGAACATATTTATTTGATGATAAATACACAAATAAGACAAAAACGGTAGGAACAGCAGCACGAGACGCTAACCTGTTTCCAGCATTTTCCCTACACTAATGCTTATCCGTGAACGTCTCCCACTACGCAACGGTTGCGTGTTTGGATTGGCCTTCGAGACGAAGTAACCAACAAGGGGAAGCATCGACTTTTCACTCCATCAAAAAAACGGATGTGAATTAGTTAAACTCGGTAGTCGGTTCAGAAATAGAAGGCTATTTTGGCCCTGTTCAGAAGATTGTCACACTTCACAAAATCAACTTGGTTTTGGGCACAGTTCTTCAGATTCCATCCACCGATTACGTTTCTGCCATACCAACTGCTCTATGAAACACATGTCCACTTAAAAGATGGACAATTTCAATTCGCCCTGCGGATATTCACTCGAATCCTCTTGCATGGATCAAGCTAAGTCTTTTTAAGTGGTAGTGAGTGGTGGGTTAGAGGTGTGCCTTAAAAAATTAAACCTGCAGTACAAAACCTGCTTAAAACCTCACACGACGTGCCACCTATAAAATTAATATGGAGTAGTAAAATAAGTACTAATATGTAATTAATTATAAAAAATTCTAGAACTTTTGTTAACTTTTTACTATTTTTAGTTCTAAATTAATATGTTTATTTTTAAAAATTAAAAATTTAGTTATTATATTTGAATATTTTTATTATTTTATGTTTAATATAATTAATGAATTTTATTATTTTATTATGAGTAAGTAATTTAAATATTATTTTAAAATTTTTGTTAATAAGGTAATAAGTGGTAGGTACTCATAGTGGACACTTGTATATGGTGGAACAGGGTGAATTTTTAAAAAATTCACTCAATGCGAGTAGGGAATGTAGGTGGGTGAATAAAATAAAAAAAAAGGTGAGTCGGGTGGTGGATGTAATCCTCCTGTCCCATTGTCATCCCAATGTCCACTAGGCTTATTGCATGCACTTAAAACTTTTTGACAGAAAAATAAGTTCTGAGAAACACTTATGTGTTTCACATGAATGGAGTTTCATATGCACTTGGTATGCATGGGGGTTTCTAAAATTAAAGTAGTTATAAACATATACTGCATTTAAGAGTTACTAGAAGTCAAAAATCAAAACAAAAATTATCAAATAAACTTGAGGTTCATAACCTCAATATTCTCTCAATGACCCTTCTCTTTCTTTCAAATCAGTATATCTACAAAATTGTAAAAAGAAAACTAGAAGATCTTGAGTAATAAGTATTGGAAAACTTTTTAGATAAGACTTCAAATTCAAGCTATGATATTTAATTAATCAAATTTTAATTTAATTGTTTGATACTATTACTTGGAATGACGGGAATTAAAAATAAAAATAAGAAAAAAACCTCTTTATTTTAATTTTCACCCGAAAGAGAAGCTGCATTCATATTTTGACCTCAAACTCAAAACTCTCAAAGTTTGACCAAGTAAATATGACTATGATTGCGGGATATCCAATGTCTCTTCCTATAAAGTATAAACATCAGCACTTTTGGTAGTTGTTACCCGCTACAAGTTAGTTTTTGTATGGCATTCAAATCCTCTTTTTTTATATATCATTTGGTGCCATACAACCATTTCTAACTTGCAGCTTTCAAAGATCCAAACGTGCCTTTGAAGCCTCCGATAACTTCTCCCTCCGCCGCAGCTCGCCGGTGTTCCTCTCCTCCTTTCCGGCCGACGTAACGCCTTTTTCTTCCCTTCTATATTTTACATACATACATATACACAATTCGGCTATTTATTACTCTGATACGTGCAGAAGAAGTTGCATATCTATATCTATATATAGTGTTTGAAGGATTTTGAGATGGAATTGTCGTGTTCATCGCCGTTGTCTGTTAACTCCACCGTTAACCGCTTCTCTTCGCCGCTTGGCCGGCGTGTTTCGGTTTACAGTCACCGGAAAAATCGGTATGTGCGCTGCTCCCTTTCCTCAAAATCTCGTTCTGCCGCGCTCAATGTTTCCGCTAGGGCGTCGTGCAGTACTAGCTCCAGCTCTAGCTCCTCGTCGCTTTTCGGAATTTCAGTTTCGGCCAGGGGCTGCGGCGCGCTTCCACGTAAAGAGAGGCGATCTCTGACTATTGTCTGCGGGGTGTTTGAGAGATTCACCGAGAGAGCTGTCAAAGCGGTGGTGACCTCCCAGAAGGAAGCCAAGGCGTTGGGGAAAGACACGGTGTTTACGGAGCACCTTTTGCTAGGGCTGATCGCAGAGGATCGCGGCTCCGGAGGGTTTTTGAGCTCTGGTATCACGATTGAGAAGGCCCGCGAAGCTGTACGGAGCATTTGGAACGATGGAAATGAGGATGAGGATGCGAAATCGGGCTCTGAACACTCTGCTTCGGCTACCTCGGTCACGGACGTAGGCTTTTCCGCAAGTGTCAAGCGCGTTTTCGAGGCTGCGGTCGAGTACTCGAGGACGATGGGGCATAACTTTATCGCTCCCGAGCATGTTGCAGTTGGGCTTTGCACGGTTGAGGATCGCAACACTTCTCGTTTGCTTGAGAGGTATAACACACATGCCAAAATATAATGCTGCTTTCAATAATTTGCTTAATCTTTAGTGGACATGTAGAAAGAGTTTTGTGTTGCATATAGTATGTTCTTAATTGTAGTCTCTGAGTGTTGTTGGCACTTGATCTTAACAAGTGGTATCAAAGTTAGGTTACAGGTTCAAATCCTAGCAAAGTTAGGTCCCAGGTTCAAATCCTAGCAAGACTACATAATTAATGCCCTCTATGCTGCTGGACTTGCATGATTTCAGATTAGGGGCAGATGCAACTGAGTTAGCAGCTGTTGCAATCTCAAGACTACAAGGAGAGCTTGCAAAAGATGGTAGGGAACCAAAAAGGCAGCGTGAGAAATCATTTTCTGGAGGAAAAATAACTATTGACAGGTCTGCGGAGAGATCATCAGGAGGTAAACCGTTATTCTCTCCTTTCCACCATTGTTCTGTTTGGCATTTGGCAACAATGGAGAAGTAACTTAAAAAGTTTTTACATTTTGTATAGAGAAATCTTCTGTGGAAGAATTTTGTGTAGATCTTACTGCCCGTGCTACTGAAGGACTTATTGATCCAGTAACTGGCCGAGACACTGAAGTTCAGAGAATCATTCAGATACTCTGCCGAAAATCCAAAAGAAATCCCATTCTTCTTGGTGAACCTGGGGTTGGGAAAACAGCAATCGCTGAAGGACTGGCAATAAGAATTGCAGAGAGAACTGTTCCTACTTTCTTGCTGGTGGGTTCTTCTTTGCTGTGATTGATTACCACCAAATCTTGTAGAATTTTTTAATCAATTTGGAGCTTTACTAGATATCTATCTACTTTTTCTTTTCCAACTAGTTGCTGGTCGCTTGATTGGATTGTTTTCTAATGCAGGAAAAACGCATAATGTCCTTAGATGTCGGTCTATTGATCTCAGGTGCGAAGGAGAGGGGTGAATTGGAGGCGCGTGTCACTACATTAATTAAGGAGATTAAGAATTCAGGTGTGCATATTGATGAAATTATTTTTAAGTTTGGAAATTTTTATTCTGACCCATTTCTTTGTGACTGCTTTGCAGGGAATATCATTCTCTTCATCGATGAGGTCCACACCCTTATTGGATCAGGTGGGCGAGGAAATGGTAGTTCTGGTCTTGGCATTGCTAATTTGCTAAAACCACCACTTGCACGTGGTGAATTACAGGTGAGCCCTCTTGTATGCTGCATGCTGCACTCTTAATTATCAGTGTCACTTTCATTAAACCGTATTGAAATTTTGCTTGTCACAGTGTATCGCATCCACAACAATGGATGAATACAGATTACATTTTGAAAAGGACGAAGCCTTTGCCCGGAGGTTCCAACCTGTAGTAGTTAAAGAACCAAGCCAGGTGAATAATAACACTCTTTATGTGCATAGTTTTGTGTGTGGTTGAGACAACCCTACTAATATATGGACTGTGCACAACAATATGCAGGAGGATGCGGTCCAGATACTGCTAGGTCTACGTGAAAAATATGAGGCCTATCATAAGTGTAAATATACATTTGAGGCCATAAATGCAGCTGTGCAACTATCAGCTAGATATATTCCTGATAGGTATCTTCCAGACAAAGCTATTGATCTTATTGATGAGGCTGGCAGCAAATCTCACATGGAAGCTTATAAGAGGAAAAAGGAACAGCAAACTTCCATACTTTCAATGTCACCTAGTGATTACTGGCAAGAAATTAGAGCTGTTGAAGCGATGCATGAAATGGTAACATTCTTCTTACTTCCTCTAAGATAATAGTTTTAACGTCCTCACCTCCTCTAAGGCTCTAAGTATGTTGGTTCTGGCCCTTGTGTTTGAATAGATCGTGGCAAGTAAAGAAAGCGAAAACGATGACGCATCCCAGTCGGAAGATGTTGGCAAATCCAATACGGAACATTTCATCGACTCTGCATCTCAAGATGATGATGAGTATGCCATCCTCCGTTTTCTTCAAAACAGAGACAGATATTAACATTAAACACAGAGGTATCTGAAGTATTGAGTAATCTAATCATTTATTTGTTGTTTGATTTCACCTCCCCTAGAGTTGCTGTGGTTGGACCTGAGGAAATTGCTGCAGTCGCATCACTGTGGTCAGGAATTCCACTGCAGCAGCTTAAGATTGATGAGCAAAAGCTTCTCATGGGTCTGGAAGAACAACTTAGGAAGAGAGTTGTTGGTCAGCACGAGGCCGTAACTGCCATTGCTAAGGCTGTTAAGAGATCTAGAGTTGGTTTAAAGGACCCAAAGAGACCAATTGCAGCAATGCTCTTCTGTGGTCCTACTGGAGTTGGCAAAACTGAACTGGCAAAAGCTTTAGCAGCATCATATTTTGGTTCTGTAAGTTTGTTTGTTATCTAATGTACTACTTTTTCTATTACCTTACCTACCTCCATTGTTTTGTTTTTATTTATAGTGTTTTCATGACCTGATTGATTTGATACAGGAACCTGCGATGCTAAGATTAGACATGAGTGAATACATGGAGAGGCATACTGTTAGCAAGTTAATCGGGTCACCTCCGGGTTATATAGGGTATGGAGAAGGAGGCACTCTGACAGAAGCCATCAGAAGAAAGCCTTTCACGGTTTTGCTCCTAGATGAGATTGAAAAGGCACATCCAGACGTATTCAATATTCTCCTTCAGTTATTTGAAGATGGTCACCTCACAGACTCTCAGGTTTTCATTTGCTGTACATATTATGTTGTTGGCATTGTAGTATAGTGTAATGACTAATTAATGATGGCATTGGAAATTTTGTTTGGATAGGGGCGAAGGGTTTCGTTTAAGAACACCCTGATTATCATGACGTCGAATGTTGGTTCAACTGCCATAGTGAAAGGAAGGCAGAATTTCATTGGTTTCATGCTTGCGGATGAAGAATCTACTTCGTATGCTGGAATGAAAGCGTTGGTGATGGAAGAGCTGAAGAACTACTTCCGTCCGGAGTTGCTGAACAGATTAGACGAAGTGGTGGTGTTCCGTGCTCTAGAGAAGACTCAGGTTTGCATTATAATCTCAACCACTCTTCTTCAATCTTTCTTGGATTCACAACTCTACCAAACAAAACCAGCTTTCAGAATACAAACTTAGTAACCACATTGTCACAAGGTCAGAGTCTCATCCTCTTAGACTTATTGATCTCCTTGTGGTCCTTTGCCAGCTAGATCACAAAAGTTTATCCTGACACACCATTTGTAGGTTATCTCTTAAAACTGAACTCTACAACCAAGGGTTATAAGATTCCCCCAACCTCCTACCCACCCTTATTTAGTTATCACCCAGGGCAGGTTGGAATATGGAATTAATTTTTACTCCTTAAAAGCGTTAATTCTAATTTTCATTAACTTTTAAGTTTGGACAAAATCTCCCTATTCTCTACTTTAGTGATTCAAACACATTAATGTTGTTGCAACTAGATTTCGATTAAAAATTAAGAAGGCATTTTATTCAAAATCCCATTGAATCCTTCTTTCAAAAAATTCCATTACCCTAGAAACTTTATACCCATTAAAAAAAAAAGGGTACTTTTTTATTCAGAGATGATAGATCACCCAATAATATTCGAGAAAACACAGTATTTACATTGACTAGCCATGAATATGATAACTTCACTATAAATTAATAAAGAGTTAATGCAATAATTAAAACATAAAAAATAAAAAATCCAATATTCTGACTTGTGAGTAGAGTTTCACTAATTTCCCTTGCAGGGATAGAGTTTGTGAAGCCATGGAAGTTTTAACAATGAAACTTGAATAATTAAATGCAAAAATTTAGCCCTCCCACCCCCTGAAACCCTGCATTAATGGGGCTAATGTCTGTCTGTTTTCCATTATATATTTCAGATGCTGGAGATACTGAATCTGATGCTGCAGGAGGTGAAAGGCAGGCTTGTTTCCATGGGAATAGGGTTGGAAGTAACAGGTGCAACTATGGAGCTGATATGTGAACAAGGATTTGACAGAAACTACGGCGCCCGACCTCTTAGGAGGGCGCTAACCAGCATAATTGAAGACCTCTTGAGTGAGTTTATACTTTCTGGAGATTACAACCCTGGTGATGTTGCTGTAATTCATTTAGATGATTCCGGGAATCCAATTGTCTCCAACCGATCAAGCCTCACCATGTCTGATACAATTACAGTGTTTTAGGAGCATACATGATGAGTATACATATATAATTATTGTTGTTTGTATGTATAGCCAGGACATTCATTCATGTACAGCACTAAGATAGACAACCTTGTAAGCATATTTTGATCAATCATAGTTTTGCATCTTCACACTCATTCAAAACATAAATACTTTAAGCATGCACATAATATCATATAATCAAACTACTAGAGACTCAAGATGATAGTACAAGAACAGTGTAAAAAGCATACCTTAATTTGCGTTACATTCCATAGGATCACCTTTGATGATTAGAAGAGCAATTAATTGATCAAACTCTCCTTTGTCACCCATTAGTGTCTCACATGGATCTTAGCAATACACTAGACAAAACAGCTTCTGTAAAAGGCTCTAATAAATCCTCAGCTATCAAAAGGGTAAAAGCTCAACATCCGCAAAAACCAATTTAGATGATGTGTCAATGATGGATTGGGAGAACCGACCTCATCACATGCTGGTCAGATATATAGCATTATAGCCTATTCCTGAAATTTCAGAAGTAATTAGCAAATAAAATTATATATATATATTTTTTAAATGCAATATGCAGAAAGTTTACATTGTAATGGGTGATTTTTTATTTTTTTATTTTTTATTTTTAATTTCCATTCAGTGCTAATATGGTAAGATATGAATTATCATATAACTGATATAAATCCCATCTTAATATGGAGTACTCTCTAAGACATGAGAAAAGTAAAGGTACAAATTAAATAGCTATCCTAAGTGCAACAGCCACCTATGGATGGAGAATTTACATCATCGATCTGCTCTAAGCAAATGAGATGGTGAACAATAGAAACTAAATGGCATAACTGATGCCATTTCCATTTTATTATACACAAAATCTACAGAGCTGACAATCCTGCTTAAAGCCAATATATTGGTCATCCAAAGTTATTGTTCTGAGACGACCCTTTTTTTTAATGACAATTCTAGCAAGAATTCCCTTTTTCTCCTTAATGCTGCTAGAGCCATTAAAAGAGAAAAACGGAAGTCCAAACAAAAGCACCAATAATCAATGAACACAATGTACGTTGGTATGTATTTATACTAATAACTGCTTGTACCTGTTCCATTGCTGTAGGTCCATCATCCTTCTGTACAGCAACACTATTTCCTTGCTCATTACTTGCTTCATTCTCACCATCAGTAACCATTTTGTCTTCTTTAGCATCATCTTTCTTGGAACTGGCATCGCCATCACTGATAATCAGATCTGCCGGAAGTTGGCCAGACTTTAAAGCCTGCAGAAGTTTCAAGTGTTGATAGATCATTTCAATTGGAAACAATTTAAAATTAAAAAAAGTAGTAATGAAAACCCTCACATTTTCTAGCATTGCCACCTCTTCAAGAGTTTGGGAATTGACAATGGCAGCCTGCAGAAAAACGTATTCGTTAAACTAATAGAAATGTCATGTCTAAGAAAAAAATGTGAAGGGGATGGATCTAGCAATTTGAAGAGTGTCCTAGCAAAGGATAAATCTACATAAAAGACACAAGAGAATGTTTATGTGGTGGGGGGCCAGGCCACATGTTAGAGTAAAGAACAGGGAAAAAGAAGAGAGATAAAATGATTTTATTGAATGGGAAACAAACAAAATAGTTTTATTGAATGGGAAAGAGGCACAGGGCTCTCACTAAGACACCCTCCAATAGAAGTTTCAGGCTCTTGTCCAGTTGCTACAGCTATAATAGAACTTAGAATAGATGATTGAATGCCATCTCTTCGAAGAGATAGTCCCTATTTATGGTCTATTACTATATGTAAATTAAGGTAGGAGCATCAATTATTGATTACATGATTAGTCAATTTCTAATTATCCGCTCCATAAAATAAGTAAGGATTTACATAATCAGTCAATCTCTTATTCTAGGCTTCTTTGAATTCTGCCACTAGAATGATTATTTGATTACTTTCATTTCCAGGAATTCCAGCATGATTTGTATCATTACCGACCGCTAATGAAACAACCTTGTCCTCAAGGTTAGAGTGCAAAACATGGTATTGTGTACATGCCTGAGTTGTAACCCAAGAAAAACATGGTGTACACTAAATGTGGGTGGCTGCGCGCGTTTGTAGGCTATTGCACTTAATTTTTTTCAACATTCTAAAAGGCCCATAATACCATGGTGGTAGCATTGCATTGATATGACATTAGAGTGTAGAGTAGCAATGAGGCTGGAGCTTAAGCAGGACATTATTACCCTTAACAAACTCTAAGAGTGTGTTTGGAAACCCGGAAAATAGAAGTCAATGGAAAATAAGGTGTAGTCAATGGAAAATAGGTGGTCTTTTTAAAAAAATGACTTCCCCTTTCTTTTTGAGGGAAGTCATTTTCCACTCTTTGGTTCACTCTAGCCAAAGATGTTCCACGCCTCCACCAACACAAGAAAAGCTCCACCAACAAACCCACAACCAGAAAAGCTCCACCAACACTAGAAAAACTACACCGGTATGTTTCCTCCATTTTCAGTTTGGAAATTTTTTTCTCCGGATCTGACAGATCTGGAACTCTGTAGTTGTTTTCCAGCTGTGGGGACGAAAATCCACAACCGGAGACTTCATCCTCACTGGTTTCCGATCAGAACCAAAGCGGAAACTAGTTCTCTGATTTCCGCAGCTGAAACTAAAGCCACTGTTCCGGCTGTAGAAACCAGTCTGGTAGCTACGGAAACGGAACTGGTTTCCACACCGAAAATCAATGATGAATTTTGTTTGTGAATTTCTCCCCTATTTTATTTGTGAATTGTGTTGTAAATTCTAATGGTCAAAACTGAAATCATTTCAACTACTTGCAAATTTATGGTGTACTTATTCCATTAACCTGGATATGATGCTGGTAAGTAATTCTGTATTAGAGATGAGAATTGGAATATGCTGAACCCTTTTGGGATTTCCAGATACAAGTGGATATAGTTTTAGCTTGTTGTATAATTCATAACTATATTATGGGAGTTGATCCTAATGATGAATTTAATCAAGCAATAGTTGATGTTGATGACGATAGCTTGTTGCACTTATCTCATACCCAAAGTGAAGAAAGACAAAAAGTTAGACAGTGAAATGCAAAGAGGGATGAGATTGCAGAACAAATGTGGAATGACTTTATTATTAGGAATTAGTGTCTAATTTTTTGTAGTTTGTTAAATATTGCTTTGTTATTGGATATTATTAGTTGTTGAACGTTTATAATTTTTATGTAGTGATTATGCTTTGTTATTGAATATTATGTTCCATATTTGGGTATTTCTTATTATTATATGCTTGGATTATTTTATGGTTGACATTGATTGTTATTGTTTTTATGTTATTATAGCAACATGAATGAATAAAGGAAATGGAATTATCACTTTTAGGCAATTTCGATAGACAACCAATGAAGTTCAAGCGCAGATTTTCAAGGCGAAGAATGCAAGCTTGAAGAGGAAATGGATTGAAAAATTTATTTCTTCTTTGGATTAAATTATGTATGCCTTTGTAGTTGGTTATGTTGGATGCTAAGACTTAGTTATGTTAGATGCTAAGACTTTATTGTGGACTGTAATCTTTAAGACTTGATTTTTATGTATGTCTTTGTAGTTGGTTATGTTGGATGTTAAGACTTTATTGTGGACTGTAATCTTTAAGACTTGATTTTGTTGATTTCTTCTGTTGTTTCTAACATGTATTTGTGGTTTCAAGTTTTCATATTGTGACAATGGTTTTAGTACTGGGAAGATAGATTATTGAGAGCAAAGGCATAATGATTGAATATAGCCCAAACTTATGTTGCATATAATTTAAAATTAAAGTTGTTTCTCGGGTTTGGGAGGCTTCCCCACCCGAGTTTATCATTCATTTGATTGATTAATGAAATTTGTTGGTTACTTAAAAAAAAACAATAAAAATGTTTTTTTTGGGTATATAACAATTAAAATGTTGAAGTATACAATTTTGCTCATTTTCTGGAAAATGAACCAAACACACAAAAACAGTTTTCTACTGTGCAACCAAACACCGGAAAAGAAAATGTTTTCTGGAAAATGACTCATTTTTCAGAAGTCATTTTCCTGCTTTCTAAACGGACCCTAGTCACAACTTTTCGCTTGGGCCGTCTTGGCTCGACGATGTTGAGCGCGATCTAGGTTGAACCAAAGTAGCTTGGCAAAAAAGGTTGGCAAGAGCCTTGGTGGTGATGGATGACATAGACATGTGTTTGGTATTCATTAACAAATTCATCCATAGTGCCGACTTGATGAAGAACAATTAGTCATACAACAAGAGGGCTGGAGAGATCACTATTGAATTTGTCCATGAGTTCCACTTAAAAGTTCAATTTGGGGTTTGTTGTTGCGACACCTAGAATGTTGGTCCTTCCTTAATAACAAAGGTTGTTGTGCCCTTCAATTCTTCACGTGTTTGTTGGATAGCAAGGGAATGCCCTTCTTGAGCAAGACAGTCACTCATATCAACCCCATTGAAGTTAGGAACTTCAATCCTCATGGTAGTGAGTTGGGGGCCACTTGTGGTGGTGGGGTAGAGAGGTGGTTTGGTGGTGTTGGATTTTTCTATCGGGGATTCAATCTTGGAGCCAGCCTTGGTGATAAGACTAGATACGTCATGCCCATTACTATGCAGCCACAAGGTAGCCACCTTGGTTAGTTTAGCAATGGAAGTTTCCATTGCTGCAAACTTGTCATTCAACGTTGTTAATTCGGTACGTATCTCATCTTGATTCTTCTCTAACGCTTTTACACGAAATTCCATTCATGTGTTCGTCAATCAACGGCAGGTCGAACCAATTTGTTAAGAGTAAAGAATAGGGAAAAAAAAGAGAAAGATAAAATGGTTTTAGGCTCTTGTCCAGCTGCTTTAGCTATAATAGAACTTAGAATAGATGATTGGATGCCCTTTCTTCTAAGAGATAGTCCCTATTTATAGTTCTATTACTATATGTAAAATAAGGTAGGAGCATAATTACTGATTACATGATTAGTCAATCCCTAATTATCCGCTCCATAAAATAAGTAAGGTTTACATAATTAGTCAATCCCTTATTCTATGTTTCCTGCCACTAGAATGATTATGTGATTACTTTCCTTTCCTGCTGATTTGTATCACCACAGAACCATTCTGGCCCCAGCTGCGGGTAGCTTAAATTAACAGGCTTACATTAGAGAAGTAAAATTTGTAGAAACTAAGACAATAATTACCTGGTAAACAGCTTATGTATATAGCACAATAAGGAGCTACAATCATTCATGCTTACAGTGTTCTTTGCAAAGATCTTCAATTAAATGAAGAAAAACAAGGATTTGATGAAAAGAAAAATGTACCGTAGGGTCTGTTTGGAAACCCGGAAAATGATTTCTGGAAATCATTTTTTTGGGTTTTGGGTGTTTGGCTAGGCTAGAAAATGAATGGTCAAAGGAAAATAAAGAGAAGTCAATGGAAAATGAGTCCAAATTTCCAGAAAATGACTTCCCCTTTTTTTGGGAAAGTCATTTTCCATCTTCTCCACACACTTGCTTCCCTGCAACTCCGTTTCCTCCTTTAACGCAGAGACCGTCTCCACCAACAATGTTTTTGGCGGAAACCTCTGCCGGAAACAACAGCTATGGTTTCCGGCGGAAACCAGACCACTGGTTTCCGCCGGAAACATTTATTATTAAAAAAAAAAAAACGAGAACGAGAAGGAAACCAGAGAGAAGTTCTCTTTGGTTTCTTCCGGCGAGGGAAACCAGAGAGAACGTCTCTCTGGTTTTCGGCGAGGGAAACCAGGAAAAGTTCTCTCTGGTTTCTTCCGGCGAGGGAAACCAGAGAGAAGTCCTTCTCTTTGGTTTCTTCCGTATTCTTTTTTTTTTTAATAAATTTTTTTTAACTTTTTAATAATTAATATTATTTGGTTTTAAAAAATAAATTTTATTATAATTTTTTTTATTTTAACAAAATAATTATTTATATAAAATGGTTAATTATATAATTCTATCTCATTTTTCAGAAAATGAACCAAACACACAAAGACTGTTTTCTACTGTGCTGCCAAACACAAGAAAGGAAAATGTTTTCCGAAAAATGACTCATTTTCCAGAAAACATTTTCCTGCTTTCCAAACGGACCCTTAATTGCAATAATTTGCTCTGGTGTAGGAGCAGTAGGTTTAGGTGTTTGCCCTTCCTTTGGCACCTCCACAGCGGCACGAACCTCACTAGGTACAAATGTCTTCACAAACTCCTTCTTAGCCTCTTCTTCAACTTCTTTTGATGCAAAGGCATTTGCCTCCATTCACTCCTACATCAAGGAAAGGGAAAACCGTAAAGCTCAAACAAAAAACTCTTATAAAAGCATATTCATACAAGCTCTGTGATACTAGAAAACTTCAACCAACTGTCATAGAAAATATAATATCAAGGTTGCAAAAATTGCTAGGTGCCTAGGTGCCTTTTAAAATTTTTTTTCTAAGACTTGATAATTATAAACTATTTAATACTCCCCTCGTCCCATTTTATGTGTTTGGTTCGGTTAACGAGGCTTGACTGAATTATTTTCAATTCAATTT